AGCGCACACTGTCTAGTAAAGTTATTTCCGCCCCAGCCTGTGTGGCTCACAGTGGGTCGGAGCATCATCCCGTACAACAAAAGGTTGCGGGTTCAATTCCTGGTCCGGGCACATGCCTAGGTTGTGGGTTCGATCCCCAGTCAGGGTACGTACAGAAGACAACCAATGGATGTTTCTCTCTTTCTTCTCCTCGAGTGAGGATTTTTTTTTTTTTTTTAAGTTATTTCTGGGCCGTGGCTGGTGTAGCTCAGTGGATTGAGCTCGGGCCTGCGAACCAGACAATCGCGGTTGGATTCCCAGCCAGGGCACATGCCTGGGTTGTAGCCCAGTTCCCTGCAGGCCAGTTCCCAGCAGGGGATGCACGAAAGGCAACCATACATTGATGTTTCTCTCCCTCTCTCTTTCCCTTCCCCTCTAAGGATAAATAAATAAAATCTTTTTAAAAAAGTTATTTCTGCCCCATCTCAATGACCACAAGTTCTTTCTATTCTTTAAATACTGTGTTTTCATAACTGAATTGGTCTAAAATATGTGGTAATTTGATGGAAACTTCGTAGTTCTTTTATTTTTTATTTTACTTACCTTTAGAGAAAGGGGAAGGGAGGGAGAGAAACAGCGATGTGTGGTTACCACTCATATGGCCCCCAACCAGGGACCTGGTTTGCAACTCAGGCCTGTGCCCTGACTGGGAATCAAACCGGTGACCTTGGTCTTCACAGGCCGGCACTCAGTCCACTGAGTTGCACCAGCCACAGCCCCTTCAATGTGCAACGAGGATGAAGTATCTGTGAGCAGCCCCTCTGCAGCCCGCTCTTTCCCGGGGTCCCTTGGGTGTGGCCCGCCGCAGCCTTCCCACCGGAGGGCAGGCCGGAGTGCAGCGGCCGTGGCCTCACTTGGGCTCCTGGGTTCACGGCAAGAGCGGATCTGGAAGCCGAGCCTCCTCTTTCACGAGTGGAAACGAGCACCTGAGAAGGACACACGCGGGCCCATCTGCTCAGCTCTGCGGCTCAGCGCGGGCATCAGCGCCATCTGCTGGACGTGGCGGCGGCTTGCGAATGAGCCCCGCGGCGCCAGCCCGCACCCGGGTTCCCGCGGAGGGTCTCTGTTGCCTCGACGTTCTATGAAGACGAAGAGGTACTAGTTCCCCGAAGGAGCAAATCTGCATTTTCTCAAATGCGTGCGTGTATCTTCCCCTACAAGCAACCAGTAAAATGACTCTTTTTTAAAACCAGGAAAACTCTTTTTTAAAAACCTGAAAGGTCTCTTCAATGCTCCGTAGGACATTTTTGGCCGCAGGGCCCAAATGTTCAGGTTTACTTTGCAGGCCCCGCTCCCGGCAGGGCGGCCACCCACCCCGCCCTGGTCCTGCCATGGGTGTTTTGGAAGGACACGCCCATCCTGGAAGCTTCCAGGCCACCTTTGACCTCGGCTGCTTGGAAACCTCCCGCGCATCCCCGCACCATCCCACTGCGCTTCAGGTCTCGGTTCCCGCACAGCGCGCCCCCCCCACCCCGCGGGCCCTGACGCCCGCCGGAGCTCAGGCCCAGCCGTCCGCGTGCGGAGCGCCCACCCTCCATCCTTTCAGCAGCCAGGCAGAGGTTCGCTGCTTCTCACTCCTGTGCGCCCGCCCCTTTCTGCCATCACCCAGCGTTGCTTTAAGAGGTTAATAAAACCCAACTGACCCGCTGCCAAAGGAGGCGGATCCGGGGGCTGTGAGAAGGAGCCTGGCCACCCTCCACTGTTGGGGAGACATTTACAGATGCCCCTGCCAGTGTAGGACGGAGCCGGACACTGGATGCGGGGGGGGGGGGCGATGGGGGGGTGGACAGAGAACCTCGGTAATAAAGATAGGCCCAATAACTATAGATACAAGGAGTGGTCTCCGATCTGCTCTACTTTTGGCCGAGGTGCCAAATAATAGATGTCACATATTAATGTGACCCCTCCCCGCAGGACTTGCAAAGTACAGAGGCTTTGTGGGTGGAAGCCTCCACCCCCACGGAGGATAGAAAAGGGGCCCAGCAGGGAAGTTAAAGAAAAAGATGGTGTTTGCAGAAGGCTGTCCCTGCGCTGGGCGGCTCCCCCACCCGCGGCAAAGGGATGTGTGTCGGTGCCTACTTGTCATCTTAAAGGGAGGGGAGGGGAAGGGGCTGGGAAGGGACCTGTTAGAGAGGTGGGCGTCCCAGTGGGCTCCTGCCTCAGTGATCTAAAACGTGGGGCCGGCTGGCCGTTCTGACCGCGGGGCAAAACCACATCACCACACTGAGGCGGCCTTGTCCCCAGGGTTGGTGACATTGACAAACACAGGGCTGGGAAGGGAGGGTCAGTGGCTCTGCATCCTTTTGGGTTTCCGTCAGAAAGATACAGTACATATAAGTGGCTTCACAGATAACGGTAAAAATAACTAGAAAATTAGTAGTAAAATAATTAGGATACAGGGGGCTTGAGTATTTCTTGCCATTATTTTTAATAAAATACCTTTAACTGTCAGTGAAAAAGCAAGCTGTAGAATAATTCCTACAACACATTCTTATTTTTGTATGTATGTGAAAACTTATACATGAGTATAAGTGCCTATTTGATCAAAACAGAGTCAACTAGCCCTGGCTGGCGGAGCTCAGTGGATTGAGCACAGACTTGGGAACCAAAGGATCGGAGTTCGATTCCCAGTCAGGGTACATGCCTGGGTTGCAGGCCAGTTCCCAGCAGGGGACACACATGAGGCAACCATACATTGATATTTCTCTCCCTCTCTCCTTTCCTTCCCCTCTACGTATAAATAAAATCTTAAAAAAAAAAACAAAACAGAGTGAACTATTAAACTAGGTTGATAGTTCAGAGATGGGGGTGGGGGGAACCAAGAGACAGGTAACTTTTTCCTTATCCTGCCTCTGAATTGTTTGAATCTTTACAATTTTTTACCATAAAAAATAATAATTTGTAAAGTGTTTTAAATGGAAAGCTTGAATTTGGAACTCAAAGTGACTTTCCCATTAAGCAATGGCATTAGAGGTGAAGGGAATTACGATCCTCGTGAGGGCTGAGGCATATTCCCTTTCTCATTTTGCAATTAGCTCCTTTGTTTGTTTCCTGGTTGTCAGTCTTTCCCCTAAGAATGGAAGCTCTGTGACAGCTGACCCCTAAGCGCCTGCAAGGTCATGGTCCCAGCTTGCTTCGTCACTTCCTTAAACTAACACAAACTAACTTCCTTAAACTCCCCCTTCGCCACTTCTGCCCCTTCTCTCTGTCTTCCTTTGCTACGGCTCCTGTAACCAAGGCCCACCAACTGGGTGGCTGAAAACCATACAGATTTATTGTCTCAGAGTCCTGGAGGCTAGGCACCCAAGGTCAAGGTGTTGGCGAGGTTGATTCCTTCTGAGTCTGTGAGAGTGTCTGTTCTGTGCCTGCCCCCCAGCTCCCGGCGGTTTGCCGGCAAATCCTCCCACAGCGGTTCTGCCTCTGTGGTCACCTGGCCCTTTCCTGTCCTGCGCCTGCACCTCTTCTCTTCTTCTGAGGACACCAGACATTTTGGATGGAGGACCCGCCCTGCTGCAGTATGACCGCCCTAACTGGTTACATCTGCAATGGCCCTGTTTCCAAACAAGGTCGTGTTCCGAGGTCCTGGGGTGAGAACCGCAACATGTTTCAACAGGGACACAGTCCGACCCAGAAAGGCTTCCTACAGCCAGTCCTCCGTGGAGCTGCCAGAGTGGACTTTTAAAAACGTACACCGCTCCGCTCTCCTGGCTGCCCACCACAGCAATGAGAACGCCAAATCAGGGCCGCAGGGCTTCCTTCAGGGGCGCCTCCCTCTCTCTCTAGCCACACCTCTCCCCACCCCCGACCTCATTCATCCGAGAAGCCCTCCTATTTCTATTTCCAGAGCATTCCAGTCTCCATTTCCCAGGAGGTCTTTGCTGTTCCTTCTGTCTGGAACGTGCTCCTGCTACACGTACACCTGGCTCTCCTTCTCACTTCTCCCTCCACAGGGAGAGGTCCGGCCTGACCCTCCCTAGAACAGTGACTGCTTCCATCCCCTTGGCTCAGCTTCTCTGCAAAGCCAGTGCTGTATGTCAGTCATCTGTGTTAGGTAACATGTCTCCTCACAAGACTGTAAGCTCTATGAGGGCAGGGATTTTTTTAAATTTGAAAGCCTTGCAAGATATTGTTATCAATTTTCTAATTAAGTTAAACTTTTGAACAGGCAACCATTGGTACACTGGAAGTCAAAATGATATAAAAAGGAATCTAGAGAATTCTCATTACCATTCCTGCTTCCAGTTACCCAGTTTCCCCTACCCCATAAGAAACCACTTTTAATAGTTTCCTAGTATTTCTTTATGCAAATACAATACAAATTTGCATATATGTGCATACATATTCTTATTTTCTGACATACACCAAAAATATCATTATATAGGGCCCTGGCTGGTGTAGCTCAGTGAATTGAGTGCAGGTCTGTGAACCAGAGGATCACGGTTCAATTCCCAATCAGGGCACATGCCTGGGTTGCAGGCCAGTTCCCAGCAGGGGATACACTAGAGGCAACCATACATTGATGTTTCTCTCCCTCTCTCCTTCCCCTCTAAAGATAAATAAAATCTTTTAAAAATATATCATTATATACATAGGCTGCACTTTGCTTCTCTCCCTTGAAAATATTTCCTGGACATCATTCCATGTCAGTTTACAGAGAACTCCATCCTTTTTACAGCTGTATAGTATTCCCTTTCAGAGACATACTACAGTTAATCTTGTCAGTTCCCTGCTTGTGGCTTCCATTTTTCGCTATTGCCACAAGTGCAGGACAAGGATTTTAACACTAACGAGCGGAAGAGGGCGTGCTTAATAGAAAACAGCCCAGGGGAGGGTCCAGCCCGAGGTACTGCGCAGAAGCCCCAGCAGGCGGCGCTGCCGGAGGAGGCTGCGCCCAGTCGCCGGGCCTCGCCACTCTTGCCGCGGTGCCGACGTCGGCGCAGGAGCTGCGTGGGGGGGAGGGAGAGTCATATGACCCGCTCGGCTTCCTGGCCCGGCTGCTGCCGCCGCCCGCGTTCGCTGTCGCGCCGCGCGAGGAGCCGTTGGGGGGTCCGGGCCGAGGCCCGCTCGCGTGGAAGCCGCCGCCGTCCACCTGCCCGCGCGTCTGCCCCGCGTCCCAGCCGCCATCATGCTGGCGCTCATCTCCCGCCTGCTGGACTGGTTCCGCTCGCTCTTCTGGAAGGAGGAGATGGAGCTGACGCTCGTGGGGCTGCAGTACTCGGGCAAGACCACCTTCGTCAATGTCATCGCGGTGAGCGCCTGCCCGCTCGCCGCCTGGGCCCGGGTCCGGGACCCTCCGCGCGGCGGGGCGGGGCGAGCGCGTTGGTTCCCCCCTCCCCCGCCCAAGACCGGCCTGGCAGCGTCCCGCGTGCGGGCGGCTGCGGTCGTCTTGGACGCGACCAGGGCTCGGGGAGGGTGAACTTGGGTTTGTCACGCATTTAAAGCGTCTGTGGGATTGGGGCTTCCCTGCGGCTTGCACCGTGGGGTCAGCCGAAGGGTTAACTCCAGCCTGTCACTTTCCCGAAGGGTGCGACTTGGCGAGCCGCCTCCCGTGGGTCCTGGGAGGGAGGAGAATTGAGAGGCTCCATCCAGTCGCCACTCGGACTCGGAGCGCCAGCGCGGGCTCCTTCCTGAATGGTGTGCGCAGCTTGCCTCCTGTCATCGGGTGCGGGTTCCACTCGTTTCCCCAGGGACCCCAGGGACAAGTTGGTGGCTGCTGCGCGGTAGAAGCCGAGGGCAGTTCCCTCTCGTCTGCTGCAGTGCCCCGCGTGTATTGAGCCGGCAGCGATGGTCTCTGCTGTCCAGGTCTCGGCTGGGGGACAAGGTGGAGCTGTAAGGAAGTTAACCACCTTGACAGACAGGGCGTGGGGTGTTTCTTACCAGAGGAGGGAAGGGACGGGGCTTATTCCAGGCCCGGGGCACGGATGTCTGGGCGGGGGGAATCGCTGCGGGCGCCCATTTGCAACGCGCTGTTCAGCAGTGACCAAGTGCCAGGATTGTTATTACATTACGGCTGTTTGGATGGTTGCGGGAGGAAATAAGAGCAGAGGGCTCTTCTCGGCAGTCTGTTTGGAGCCCAGGAGTTGCTGTGACTCAGTCTCAGCTGGTAGGGCTTGTCCTGAGTTTGGGACTGTTGTCAGGAGAGAGGGCAGCGCCTCTTCCACCTTTGAGGTGACGGCTAGGAACCGTCCTTGCCAGCAGGCCGGCTGTCCGACTGGTTCGGTTGCAGGAGTGATTCAAACATAGCGCCTGTGTGGGAGAAGATACCAGCCGTGTGACTCTTAGTGCTCAGCTTGTGGGGCGACAGGAATGAGGAAGGCTTGGAGGAAGAGAGATGAGCAGGAATCTATGAAGTTCCATTGCAGAATGTTGCCTATGAGTGTAAATTATTTTATGTATTCAGCTTTCTGTACTAGGACTTTTTTTTCTTGAGTTGACTGTGTTTCAATAGGTATTATAGGGTGGAATATATATTTAATACCACCAAGATTAATAAGGGAAAACTTTCAGCTAAGGGTCCGTATTAGCACTTGTGAATTACGTGGAAGAGGTGCCTGCCTGTGAGCTCAATATTCCCTTGGTAATAAGAATTGGAGTCTCCTTGTACATCCCATCTGCTTGACAAGACTGAATTAATGTGTAGTGCAGAATTAATGTATAGGTGTATTACTGCAATCAGTTGTCTTTGTTGCAGAGAAGTAGTTATGCTTGGGAAACCTAAGCAAAACTTTAGTAGGACTTTGAGGAACTCAAAACAGCATAGGTTAATATAAAGAGTGTGAGCTTGGAAGTGCAGCAGCCCTGGGCTTGCTGTCTGGCTCTGCCCCTTTCAGCCTGGTGTCCCCTTTTCGTCTTTGCTCTCTTGTCTGGTGAGTGGAGATAGTAAGCGGTTTCTCGGAGTTGCTTGGAAGAGTGGACAAAATGACATGTGAAGTGGCTAGCATCCTGCCCACCCAGAGAAGGTGCTGGGTGTGTGGCAACTGCTGGCACCTGCACTTCCTCCGTGCAGAAACCCGGAGGGGGCTTGCTGAGGGTTGCCTTCTCTGCATCTCAGTGTGCAGCCGGCCGGGGCTGCAGCGGTGCCTGTAGGTGTTGAGGTGAGGAATTGTGTTGCATCACATCCCATCGTTTGTTAAAATTAGATTATTTTTTAACAACAAAATGGGAAAGCTGGTGAACTCGGAGTGAAGCAGTGGATCCACTGCTATGTTAACATTAGACACTTCTTTTTTTCATGATGACGTGCTCAGGTTTCATTCAGAAAAGCACCTGGCCTGTGACTGCCCACATGTGAACTGAGGTGCTGGAAAAAGAGACCTCAGTAATGCCGCCCTCTTTCTTTCAAACGTCAGATTCAAACCTCATCTCTGAGCCTCGTTGAACATGTTGAGGGTGAGGAGAAAGTTGGTGACTGAAGGTGATTTTACAGACTTTTGGATAGAAACAGCGTGTCCCAATAGTAAATTTTGTATTACCTTTTTGCAGGATCAGGGGTCCTGTGCTTGGTATTCTGTGTGAAGTGTGTGTTCTGTAGACTCAGGAACACAGATGTGCTGAGTGCTACATACCACTTTTGTGCAGGTCCGACAAGTAACTTCCCAGGTATGAAAAGCGCCAGGTGAAGCCAGTTTCTTTGGGTAGAAATCAGCTCTTCTGTAAACATCAAATTACAGTGTGGCTATATCTTCTGCCTTAAAAGTTAAAAAAATATAATACATGTTATTTAACTCAAATGGTTTGTGAAGCTGAAAAACTTATATGTAAATTTGGTTTATTCTGAAATTAGGCAGTTTACTGACAGAGAGTTTCACTCCAAAAATTTGTGTTCTTATCGTTTTAATACTGAAATGAAACTTCATTTTACCTAATCTTTTATGTCAAGGTGCTTGACGTATGTAGTGTCCTCGTTGTTTTGGACATGTACAGAGAAGCCCCGGTCTCTCTTGTCCTGAGCCGAGTTAGGGAAGGCGCGGGGCCGCTGCCGAGCTTCCTGGCAGTTATTGCGCAGCGAGCCACGGGCCCCACGTGTGTGACGCGTGTTGAGCAATGGTTAGTGTTAACTGAGGCTTTGGATGGGTGACGGGGGAGGTCCTAAGAAATGTGTGATAGGATCTGCCAAAATGTAAGTCTTATAGACAGACATTATGTATTTTTGAAACGAGTAGTTTAAGTTTTCGAAGTGTTGATGCCGTAGAGGTTATCCAAGGACAGTTTCTTACTGTGGAAAGTGAGGGACTGGAGATATTTGGGAAGATTGTAGAAATCTGAACCTAGAATTATTTTTTAAGAATTTGTAGAAACCGTGATGAAGGGTGTGATTTTACCCTCACTGGGTAGGTGGGCCTGGGAGACCAGAGAGGCTGCGTGAGAACCCTGCGACCGCAGATCTAGTGAGTCGCAGAGACGGCTTCGTACCCGGGGCCGGAGCTCCTCCCCAGCCGCCTCTGCAGGCCGGTTGAGCTGAGAACCACAGAGCAAGTCTTTTCACAGACAGCTGTGCTCCTCACACAGGTCTAGGCAGCGGCACTTGGCTATTTTGGGGTAGGAATGGCGAAAACACTTTTTAAACAGAGTTTGCCGGGGCCTACATCTGAATTGGAGCAGACCTGAACTTGACCACAGACGCCGGCTTCCAGTGAGGAGTGGGTGGGCGCAGCCGAGCTGCGGGCCGCGTGAGACACATCCTGCCTGGGGCATCTCTACAGAGGGCCTCGCCCGCCCCTGCCTCCCACCCCTGCCATTGTTGCCCACGCGGACCTGGAACGGCCCAAGCCCAGTGTGCAGGTTCAGAAGTGTCGGGGTGCAGTACTGCGTTTTCAGGTGCCGCCCCAGTGTATTTCACAACTGAGAACACTTTGCTCAGTCTCTCAGAGGTGAAGTGGAGTGTGTCTGAACGTGGAGGCAAAATGCACTGTGCACCTACGAAACAGTCACTTAAGTGTTATGTCTGGCAGATTTTTTTCTGATTATCAACATCATACAGGGTCATTAGTAGAAATTTTTGAAAAATAGTTTAGAGTGAAAGAAACCGCTTAAATCTACCATCCAGGGTTACCACTGTCAGCATATCAAAATAGTTCCTTTTGCCTTTTTTGAATGTATATATCAAACACCTTTTTAAAAAGTTTTGAAGTAAGTCCTGGTTGGTGTGGCTCAGTGGATTGAGTGTCAGACTGAGAATGTGAAGCAAAGGGTTGTTGGTTCAATTCCCAGTCAGGGCACATGCCTGGGTTGCAGGCCAGGTCCCCAGTAGGGGGCATGTGAGAAGCAACCACACATTGATGCTTCTCTCTCCCTTTCCCTATCTAAAATAAATAAATAAATAAATAAATAAATAAATAAATAAATAAATAAATAAAGTTTTGAGATAGAGTTTATTACGTGTGCATCCTAATTTGTTTTCTTTCCGTTGTGGGGTGTGCATTTTTCTACATCTAAGACAAGCTCTTGCCCCGTTTCTTAAGGCACTGTTCCCTTCCAGTTTTGTTGAGAAATAATTGGTATATAGCGCTGTGTAAACGGAAGGCACACGGTGGGACGCTGTGAAATGATGACCACATCGGTAATCATCTCACACGCATCTTCTCATACAGATACAATTAAAGAAAAGAAAGGAAACACTTTCTCCTTCTGTTGAGACACTCGGGATTTGCTCGCAGCAGCCTCCCTGTGCCCCACGCAGCAGTGTTAGCTGCGGCCAAACGTCTGTGCCTGGGACCGCCTTGCTCCAGCCCTCCCTCCCTGCACCCGCTGCCTCCCATGACCACAAGTCTTACCTCTTCTTCTGTGAGTTGGTTTTTAGATTCCACATCTAAGTGAGGTCGTTCAGTACTTGTCTCTTGAACGTACTTCACCGAGCACAGTGCCCTTGAGGCCCACGCATGTTGTCACGAATGGCGGGTGCCCTGGCTACGTCAGGCTGCATCAGCGTGCGTGTGCCCATCCGTGGGGCGCTGTGGCTGGTTCCGTGTGTGCTTCCATGGTAGCTCATGCTGCTGTAATGTGGGCTGTGGGTGTCTGTCTGACTTAGCTTTCACTTCCTTTGGGTGTGGTTCCAGAAGTGGGATTTCTGGATCATATGGTACTGGGCATTTCTGAGGGTCTGCCATCCTGTTCTCCACGGCGGCCCGCCCCAGTCCGCACTCCCACCCGCAGGGTGCGGCTTCCCTCCAGGCCAGCCTCCGGCATGTCCTCCCTTTCCCGTGGTGGCCGCTCTAACAAGAGGGAGTTGACAGATGCCTCGATGGGGCT